TATATATATATATATATATATATATATATATATATATATATATATATATATATATATATATGTTTGTGTTTGTGTGTGTGTGTGGGTGTGTATGTGTGTATGTTTTTTTATATGTGTATTATGTATGTATTTGTGTAGTAGTATGTGTATCATGTATGTATATGTTTTTGTATATGTATTATATATGTATGTATGTGTTTTTGGTTATATGTTTTTATAATGTTTTTGTATTTTTAAAACAGTTTTTTATTATTTTATAACGTTTGTTTTGTATATGGAAAGAACGTTTTAAAAAAACTAAAAAAAGAGAAAACTACAATTAGCGGCAACACTTTTAGTGGCGATGGACAGTATTAGTGGCGACGGTAAGCATTATCGGCGACAATTAGGGTATTAGCGACGAGCCAACAGCGGTGACCTTTTAGGGGCGACGGGTCGCCGCTAAAGGTGTTAGTGGCGACATTCGGGACCTTTAGCGGTGATGCCCGTCGCCACTAATGGTCATTATTCTTGTAGTGGAATTTGTTTGATCAAAAACCAGAATTTGACTTCTTTGTTTTTCAAATTCAACTTCATTCCATGCATTAATTGATATTTTTCATATGGGTGATGATTATCTTTGAAGGAAATGTTGCCACAAACAATATATATAATGCACCAAAATCGAAAAAAAATGACAGAAGTTAATAGCAAAAGGAAATTATATAGCTTCCAAATCTTGAATTTGGTATGGAGTATGGCAGTGATATTCTTTTCTCTGGCAAGAACCGGAAGAAGGGTCGGATAGGACATCTTGTTCGTCGTGGGATGCACCTTGGACAATATTGTCACCTACACGGAACCTGTTTTCAGATTCATCTCATTTAACCCTTCCATGATTTCTTTTAAAGTTTTCAATATCAAACTAATTTCTGCAAGTCCTTTCTATTTTCCGCTTTTGCTTAAAATTTAAATCGTCACAATCATAAATAGGAGTACTACTCACATATATTTTTTTCGAAAACAAGTCTTATAATTAATAAAGAAGAAAACACGAACCTCCAGCCATCAATCACCGTCTTCTTCCACAAAACAGAACATGAAAACCCTAAAATCGAACCTTGAAAACACTAGAAATCGACGTTCAAAGATATGTGTGATCATTATCTATATGTTCATCCTAAAACCGGACCTTGAAACCCGTAAAACTAGACCTTAAAACCCTAAAATTAGACATGAAATCCCTCCTGTTGTTGGCTCGTAGAGTAAACCCAATATACGTTTCTTTGATTTTTCTCAATGTGCTCTTGGCAGAGGTGGGTTAGAAGAAGGAGGAGGCGAGAGAGTCGGGGAAAAAAGAGGGAGCGTACTACATGTGTGGGAGCGGTTGGCCCATTATTTTTTTATAATAATAAAACCTGACTAATCAATATAAAAATGGCAAAAATAAATTTAAAAGTCATTTCAATTCTTTTTTAGACAAAAACCACGAAAATTTTCTGATTTTAGACGGTTAAATGCAAGTTGAAAAACTTTTTGGACTGTACCCATGATATTTTGAATATGACAAAAACTAATTTTGTAGTTTTGTCCTTTAATAAGTATGCTTTAGATTTAATATTGAGATAGCAGGTGAGATCACGTGTTTACTGCCTGCAATCACTCCAAGGCAGTTTGGGTGTGGATCTCGAATGGGTGTGGCTTGAGTATTAGTTCGGTAAATACTATCCGGGATTTAATCAAATTCATTGATGAGTTTGGGGTGGTTCTCCAATTGGTGTGTAACTAAATACCATCCACCATCGACTTCTGTGACTTCATTGTTGGATTAATCGGTTTGTTGTAATCCAAACGTGCAGCAAAAGATTTGGTATTTATCTTTGACCGAGTTTTGAGGAAAATAAAAGGGATA